GCGTACTATGGCCTGTTCCTTTTCTTTTCAAGCTCGGTAACTGGTATGATAAGAGACACTGCAACTTGACTTTGTTCATTCCGCTCTACTCTGGCTCGGCACTGGCCGTTTGTAGCGGTCCCGTGGATTTTTCCCTGGTACATGACCTACTATACGAATCTACCTGACATAATTTTGTTGATACAGATCTCACTGGGCCTGGTGCCTGGACCATTTTTCCCAATGCAGGCCACACAGACCTGATACTGGACCTGCTTTTGCCAATGCGGGGTAAGCTGGCAGTCTCTTGAGGCCACGGCCTCTGGTACCAAGAGGATATAACGAGGATCAACTGGTCTGGTAGGACATTTAGGCGGGGGGCAGTCTCTCGCAGCATGCAAGGTGTACCCCGCCCACGTCGCTTATACTGATGATGTCAACGGGGAGCAATGCACAGGCGGTTACAGGACATTCAGGCGGGGGCAGTCTCTCGCGGCATGCAAGGTGTATCCCGCCCACGTCGCAGATATGGACGAAGTCAATGGGCATGTGGACATGGAGACGGGGGGAACTTTTCCGAAGCATGCACGGTGTACACAGCCCACCGCTGCCAACGCTGGTTGAAGTCAACAGACGCGGACAGTGAACGACGGCGAGCGCAGCGGAGATAACTGTTCGCGAGGCACTGTGGTTCAGTGCTGCTCACGGTCAACGGTAGCTATGGCGGCTGTGCAGTGTGTGAGAGAGAGAAAGAGTGAGAGGGAGAGACTGAGAGAGTGAGAGGGAGAGACTGTGTGTGTGTGGGAGAGAGAGAGTGAGAGGAAGAGACTGTGTGTGTGTGAGGGAGCTGGAGAGTGTGCAGTTGAGAGAAGAGAGCCCTGATGATCACTGCAACTGACGGGAGAGAGTCCGCTGCTGCTGCCTCCGAGATCCGCCACTACCACTTGAGGCGGAGTTCATCATGATTGCGTTTGAGAGAAGAGAGCCCACGTTATCATTGCAACTGACGGAAGAGAGTCCGCTGCTGGCGGCGAGATCAGACACTCAACTTTTGGTGAGGGAGGAACAGATGGACTCGTCTCACATGAGCAGGACAATAGCCATGTGTCTGTGCGCACCCGTGCGCGCCAGAGAGAGAGAGAGAGAGAGAGAGAGAGAGAGAGAGAGAGAGAGAGAGAGAGAGAGAGAGAGAGAGAGAGAGAGAGAGAGAGAGAGAG